TTGGTTAAAAAAATATTCAATTTGGAAATTTTGAATTTAAAATTCTATATTTACTTTTTAAAAAAAGAATTAGAATTTCTTAATATAAAATTTAAAAAAAAAAAATTCTCGGTCAACAGTCTGGCCATGATTATTAACAGGCGACTTTTTTTGGCAAACTTAACTGCTTCATTCAATAATCTACCTAATCTATGAGGAATAAACATTATAAACACCATAAAATCCACAAATAAACATCCATAAAATTCACAAATTTTTTAAGCTCATAATTTACAAAAAATAACATTGTTAAAGATAATGTTGCTGGTTACTGGGTTGTGTGGTGGTCGGACCGTGAAGATGACGAATTCGATTGGATTTGACCATTAGAGGATGTGTGAATTTTTTATTTTTTTCTTTCGCTCAATTTGTTTTTCCCGATGAGGATATAAATGAGTTTTGATAAATAACTTTACAATTAAACAATTAATTAATTCAAAAGTAGCTTTACAATCTAAACAATTAATTAATTAATGAGTTAATTTTTAATGCCCGGCGATTTCCATGTATTTCCTCTAGTATTAGTGGACACAATTCCAACAGCCCCTTCAATCGGGTCGATGGAAATGGAGTCTCCATTCAAGGCAAATTTATTGAAAGGCAAAGTAGCATTATTGACTGGAGGTGGGTCGGGTATCGGGTTCGAGATCTCAACTCAGTTCGGAAAACATGGAGCTTCCGTTGTTATTATGGGTCGCCGGAAGAGCGTTCTTGACGCCGCCGTCTCCGCCCTCCAATCCCTTGGAATCCCGGTAAATTCTTTGTTTTTCCACCTCACTGGACGCATTACGTTCTCAATAACTTCGTCAAAGAGTGCAATTACACTGAATTTGAAACTGTTGGGCCTTTTTTCCTATCTGCTCTATTTTGTGAATTAAAGGTTACTGTCGTTTCTTAGTTTTCCTTGTTGGAAATTGGTCCAAATTGAATCTCCTTTTGTCCTTTTTGTTGTGGATTGAACCAATAACACAACTACAGTATCACAATCCCCTATTATGCAGAATCAAAATGGTAGTAAAATAACACCGACTCCAACTCACGCACGCTGGCAGAAATGTAAAGATAAGAACACCAATATTTGTTCACAAGGGAAACCTTCAACGTGATGGAAAAATCCCGGGATCTAGTCCAATAAAAGTCATCCACTATCAAAATAATGGGATACACAGTTAACCCTCTCCAGAACACAATCTAGAGGTTACCAATACATCAAGAACACATATATATTCTTGGATATCAACAGCAACATCATACTAAAATGGATACACACACAATAAGGAGAAAATCTCACTAAACTAGTGTGGAGAGCCTAGAAAAATGGAGAAGAATCTGGACGATCAGCTCCGGTCAAAATGTAGCTATTTTTGCCAAATAACATACTGAAATTTCAGCTTAATTGGACCATGGATGAATCTCGATCTTTGGCAAGAAGAAACTGAAATAGCGTAGTTTCTCTCTCTCGTTCGGTCTCTGTTTCAGAAGAAAATGAAGCTGCCTATTTTGGAAAGTCTGCTGCCCTTTTTCTCCTTCAATTGTATCTATATTTGCCTTTGTTATTGGTCCATTAAATGGGCTAAATTGGTTTGGGCTTTAGTGGGCTACTAAATGGGTAAGTCCCTAAAGTGGAGGGAAAACCTAACAAATCTCACCCTCCCGACCACGTGAGGGACACCACCAAGCCAGCTTTCGTTCTACATATTTATAGTTTCTCCATAGGCAATGGCTTTGTCATCATATCTGAACCATTCTCATCAGTATGGATTTTTTCAAGTTGTAACTTCTTCATCTCCAGTGCATCTTGAATCCAATGATACCTCACTTCAATATGTTTGGATTTTGAGTGGAAAGTTGGATTCTTATTGAGATCGATTGCATTCTGACCGTCACAATAGAGTATATACTTTTCTTGCTCTAGGCCCAGTTCTTGTAAGAACTTCTTCATCCATAGCAACTCCTTGCTAGCTTTAGTGATGGCTATGTACTCAACTTCTGTGGTAGATAGAGCAACACATTTCTGTAGTTTAGACTGCCATGAAACTGCTCCCCCTGAGAAGGTGATCACATACCCAGAAGTGGACTTTCTAGAGTCTACATCACCAGCCATATCTGCATCTGTGAACCCAACAAGCTCGAGTTTGCTGGTGCCAAAAGATAAACATATCTTAGAACGCCCTCTGAGATACTCGAGAAAATCATTGCTGCCCAGTGTTCTTTTCCAGGATTAGAAAGGAATCTACTGACAACTCCAACCGAATAAGCAATGTCTGGCTTTGTGCATACCATAGCATACATCAAGCTACCCACAGCTGATGCATAAGGCACATTCTTCATTTCTTCATTTTCATTCTCACTTGAAGGACTTTGTTTTGAACTCAATTTCAAATGACTTGCAAGTGGAGAGCTAACGGCGTTGCCTTGTCCATATTGAACTTGTGTAATACCTTCTCGATATAACTTTCCTGTGATAACCATAATCTCCCATTATTCCTGTCACGAGAGATTTTCATACTGAGGATTTGATTTGCAGGTCCCAAGTCCTTCATCTCAAAGGACTTGGTCATCTTATTTTTAAACTTCTTAATTTTATCAGTGTCACGATTAACAATCAACATGTCGTCGACATATAGCAAGAGAATAATAAATTCCCCATCAGAGAATTTCTTTATAAACACACAATGATCAGAAGTTTTTCTAGTGTACCCATGCTCAACCATGAAGAAATCAAATTTCTTGTACCATTGTCTCGGTGCCTGCTTGAGGCCATACAAGCTTTTCTTCAACCGACATACAAGATTTTCTTTACCTTTAGCTGTGAATCCTTCTAGCTGCTCCATGTATATTTCCTCTTCAA